TCCCCCCCCAGCCCCGGTCCCTCCCCCCGCCGGCGTAGGGCGCCTTGCCCGCTCCCAGCTGCTGCGCTTCCAAACTCCAGGCGCCGCGCTGCGTGATTAGCCACGCGTGAAACTGCCGGAGAGGGGCGGGAGGGGCGCTTGGCGGCGGGCTGGGGGGGGTGGTGCCCGGGACTTGAATGGCTGCCGCCCTCAGCTAGCACTGAACCAGCTAAGCTGTGTGGCCACTATCGCCCGTTCCACACTCAGCGGTAGGTTGCGCACACTACAGCCTGTTGGCTGGCCTGCTCCGCTCTCAACTCCCAGCACCCCCTGACCCACTAAAGGAGAACAGGACTGCCGCCTCCTCTCCGCCCTGGGGCACTTCCTGCCCCGAAACCGGCTTGGGTCTGTCTGCAGTCCACAGAGGGTAAATGGTGCTGGGATTAGAAGATAAGAACCACACTCAGCGGTAGGTTGCGCACACTACAGCCTGTTGGCTGGCCTGCTCCGCTCTCAACTCCCAGCACCCCCTGACCCACTAAAGGAGAACAGGACTGCCGCCTCCTCTCCGCCCTGGGGCACTTCCTGCCCCGAAACCGGCTTGGGTCTGTCTGCAGTCCACAGAGGGTAAATGGTGCTGGGATTAGAAGATAAGAACGGCTGTACTGGGTCAGACCAAAGGTCCATCTAGCCCAGTATCCTGTCTGCGGACAGTGGCCAGCACCATCTTCCCCAGAGAGGGTGGACCGAAGACAATGATCAAGTGATTTGTCTCCTGCCATCCTACTCCAGCCTCTGACAAACAGAGGCCAAGGACACCATTTTATCCCCTGGCTAATAGCCTTTTATGGACCTTGCAAAGTTTGTGGCAAGGGTAGGTGGGTCTCCGAGTTTGTTAAAAATATATAGTATCATGAGCTTTTGTGAGCAAAACTGGCTTCCTCTGATTGGGGGGGGGGAACCTCACAACATAAAAAGAAAGGAGAGGGGAAGAAAAAATACCTGTCAATTGTAATGTTGGTGCTAGTGAGGCTAACTGAGTGGGTTGGAAGTGTCCCATCCTTCTTGTGAATCTCTAAAATGCCACAAGATTACTCCCTTCTTGTTGTTGTTGTTTTTTAAGTTACAGACTAACAGAGCTACCCCTCTGAAAGTTTGTTCAGGAAGGTTCCCTTTACTCCACATTTCTCTGCCTTTCTGGGACTTTGCACTGAAGTAACTGGAACTCTTAACCAAGGCTTGGAAAGTGGGAAATACTTTGGTGATATAAACCACAAAATGCATGTTATGGCCTTGATTCACACTTAAGTCCTTCCATTTCAAATTCCTATTTAAGTATATGATTCTTGGGAGCAAATACTGAAGCACCTCATCGCTCAAGAGGACATCTGTATTTGGCTTTCATCTTGATTTGGGGGAGGGGTTGGGTTTTTTTCAGTATGTTAGAACTTCATGAACCCGTGAAATCTATGAAGTGAAATAGCTCTGACAGTACAATAACTGGATGTACTCACTTAGATGCCAAGAACTCTGTCTATTCTATTTATTACAAATTATACTTACAAGGACTTAATTCCTGATTTTAAGGGATATTTTTAGATGGAGCCAAGTAAAGAAGTATGCAATTTGTCCAGGGATATTGTGGACAGTAGGTTTTGTTTATTTTGTTTTGCTTGTTTATGCCATCCTTTTATAAAGGGTCTCCTTCAGGTATTTCATTTTGAGTTTACATCAGGGCCATAGCATAGGATTTGGTTAACAATCTGATCTTCTTACATCTGTTGCAAATAAGATGCAGTACAGGCTGTCTTTGTAAAAGATAATGTTGAAATACTTTCACAGAAGATGAGCATAAAAAGATTACAAAGGAATTCTGGAAGCTCTCAAGTGATCAACTCACCACCAGCATTTTCTAATTCAATCAAACCCAAGAATGTTGTTGCAAATTTAAGACAGCATTAAACACCAGGGCTATGTCTACACTAGAGCCTCTTGCACAAATAATGTGCAAATGAGGTGAAGCGTGGAATATCACTGCGCCTCGTTTGCATAATTAATGCAGCTCTGTTTTTGCGCAAGAGGCTTTTTCAGGAAGAACAGCTCTTGCATAAGAGGGGGGGTTTTGCGCAAAAACTGAGCCTCATTAATTATACAAATGAGGCACAACAATATTCCAGGCTTCACCTCATTTGCATATTTTATATGCAAAACAGGCACAGTCTAGACATAGCCCTTGGGTATAACAAGCAATTTAAAACATGCATATACATTTCTTACTTTTTGACTGCCTAGATTCTTAATCTCCAAAAGTTACTCATAATATGATCACAGCAAATGAAATTAGATACACTTGTCTAAAAGTATATTATTTAAAAATCCAATGAAGAACAAAATAATCTGCAAGTGCACCATCAGAGATGATGGCCCGAGGAAATTAAAAACCACACAGTGAGGTAGACAGAACATGTAACACTGGTTAAAGGCCAAGATTGGTGTGTTTATTTTTCAGTATAAAATATCTTATGTTAGTCATATATTTTACCATATTCCTCTTTAGTTTAGTCCCTATGAAATTGTGAATTTCAACACAAGAATTCTTGCATTTGGAAGTTATACATGTGTAAGGGCAGCTCAACATTCTTACCTTGTTGACCTAGCTACATCACTTAGGAGTGTAAAAACTCCATGCCTTAGTGACATAGGGTTCCCAACTCTGTAGCCTATTAAAATCTCCAGGATTGCTTTCAAGAGCCACCAAGAGATTAATTCTGGGAGACTCCAGGCCAATTCTGGAGGGTTGGCAACTGAAATAGTAAGGCCAATTTAACCCCCACATGTAAACAGTGTTAAGAATTCTTTGGTTGTCCTGTCCACTTGGGATGTTAAATTTAGATGAATTGGCTAATCGACTAGTGGATGCAATTTGCACTATTTGATTAGTCAATGGGATGCCTCTGCCTTTGGCGTATAGCAACAGTCCTCCAAAGCAGTCCCTAGGGCTGTTGCTACACTTTAAAGGTGAAAGCACTGCGGGGAGCACGGGGCCAGCGGGGGGGCTCAAGCAGCCCTCCCTTACCCCAGGCTCCATGCAGCACAGCCACTTTGAAAAACTGTGGGGAGCCAGCTGGGTCAGGCTCCACACGTCGTTTCAAAGCGCAGCACCGCATGGAGCCCCGGGGTCAGCAGGGGAGGTCTGGCCCTGGGCTCCAAACGGTACTGCTGCTTTGAAGCACCCCCTTCTTCTCCTCCCCCTTTGCTGCCTCTTTCTGACAGAGGCAGCAAGGAGTGGGGGAAGCAACTAGTCGAGTATTCCACTCAAGTACCTGATAAGCTTAGGCCTACTGGGTAGGTGAGTAGTCAAGTATTCGCTTACATCCCTAGTTATCATTCATTCTCTGCTGTGTTATTTATCGCACCTTCATCAAATCTATAAGCTTTGAATACAAAGAATCTCTAAATCATCCATATAATCATTTGGGTCAGTCACAATCACTGAAATCCTTATAGCTGGTTTTGCTTGCTCTGTTCTACAGAGAAAAATTAGCCATACAAATGGACTTTTGCCCGAATGGGAGCAGCATAGTATTTCCGCAAGAAGCACTGATTTCTTACATGAGATCGTCAGTGTTCTTGCAGAAATTCAAGTGGCCAGTGTAGACAACTGGCAAGTTTTCCACAAAAGCAGCTGCAAAAGTTTTCCACAAAAGCAGTCTAGATAGCCCTAGTGTGTCCTCTATCCGATGAACATTTGCTTAGCAGATAGTTGACTAGACTTTTGCATCCCTACTATCTATGCCTCTCTCAGAAGTGGGTTAAGTACAGCCCTGGAAAAATCCCACCCTTGGCTGTAGTTGAGTATTTACACTAAAGCACTATAGCTACAGCTTTATAGCTGTGCTGCTGTAGTGGTTTCATTTTAGACATTACCTAAAAGGCTTTATCTACACCAGAAAATTTAAGCTGACATAAATTGCTCTGCATTAACATTGTCTCACGCTGATCTGAGCACCCAATTGGGCTGACGTATTGATACCATCTTCCCCGGTTCCCCGAAAAGGTAGTGAGCCATAGTCAATGTACTGAGATCAATGCAGGGCAAGTTTAGAGGCTGTCTTGTTTATGTTGACCCTAAAAGTCCCTCAGCAGCTGTCCCACAATGAGTAACACTGAGTAACCACTTTACTCACAACTGTGAACTCTGTTGCCCCACAGTCACGGAGACTGGAAGATGGCTCCAAATCTCCTTTAAAGCCTGCACATTTTTTAAATGCCTTGTTCTGAATATACTGTTTGGCAAGCACACCTAGCAACTCTCCATTGTTGTGTACAACTGCTTCACTGACTATGACAGCTACACACTCCAGACATGCTCCAGCTTGGCAAAAATAAGAGATATTGTATCTTTCGGGCTGATTGCAAAACAGATGCAGGAGAAGGGGTACAATAGGGACCAATAGCAGTGCCATATGAAAGCAAAGAAAATGTGTCAGGCACTTCAGAAGGCCAAGGAAGCCAATAGTCAATCTGATGCTGAATTTCAAGCCTTCCACCTCTACAAAGCATGCCATACTTTGCAGAGACACTGCCACCTTGCCATTGTTGCCAACCACCAAGAAGCTCAA